CCCGTTGGCACGGCGCCCCCTGCTGAGCCTCCCGCCCCCCTCCCGTCGGTGCGGCGCCCCCGGAAGCCTCCTGCCCCCCGTCCGTCGGCGCGGCGCCCCCTGACGAGCTCCCAGTCCCCGTAGTGTGGCACCCTTGCCGAGCTCCCCACCCCACGGCTGCAGCACAGCGCCCTTACCACGGTTCTGGGGTACTGGGGTCAGCCCTGAAGGCTGGGGGCGAGCTCCTGCAGCACGGCGTCCCCACGGTATTTCCCTGCGGGGGTGCTGGGTTGAAGGCCCTCCAGTGACTCCTTTGCCCGTCCAGCCCTGCCCAGCCCAGGCGTCCTGCGGGGTGTGAGCGTGCTCCCCTCTAGGGCTGGCCCTGGGGGCTGAGTGCCGGGGGTCAGACCTGGGGAGATAGGGCTGGAGCATGGGTAACCCGCCCTGTGCCCGCCCTGCCACGCGTGGGTGCTGAGGAGGAGGGGGAGGGGCTCCAGCCCGGGCTGGGGGGATTAAACCACGGTGGTGATGTTTCTCTTTCTCCCCTTTAGGATTCAGGCCAAGCTCCCAAGTGCCAAAGCGAAGCCAGAATGAGCGACTGCCCCGGCCCGACTCACAGCAACGACGCCCCCGCCCCTCCCACCCCGCTGCCACCCTCACCCCAGAACCACCCCCACCCCCGCTGGTGACACCCCCCACCCCAGTGAAAGGGGCCGCGGCCCCTCTCCTGGTCAGGAACCCGCCTACACTTCAGCCCCTGCGCTGCCCCCCCGGCCCTGCGTGTTGTGGGGCTGGGACAGGAGGCAGCTCCCTGGACATTCAGGGCTACGGGGGTGTGGGGGTGACTGAGAGGGGCCCCCGCGATTCGGCCACCACCCTGGGCTGTAGCAACGGGTGCAGCCTGCCACAACAAGAGGCCCCTGCATGCCACCCTCCGCCGTGGGCCGAGCCGCACGGCCTGCTGGGCTCTGCCTGCTTCCTGCCTCCAAGCCGCAGCCCCAGCATGAGCCCGGCAGGGCCCGGCCCTGTGGGGTGGGGGTGGGGGTGGGGAAGGGGCAGGCCCCTGGCTCCTGAGGGCTGGAGGGGTCTGGTTTCCTGGGAAGCTCGGACCCAAGTGAATTCAGGGTCTGTGATTGGTTGGGAGCCCAAGGGCTGGCAGCCTGTTGTGTCTGAGCCCCCCCCGCCCCCCCCCCCACTGTTTTTAGTCCGGTGGCCCCTTCTTGGACTTGGCCTGGGGCCACCCCTTGGCGCCGTGGGGCAGGCGCCGCCCAGGCGCCCGCAAAGCTCCACTAAGATTTACACTTTAATAAAAACGCTGGTGGAAAAAACCGCCGGGCAGGGTCCTTCACTGCGGCCACGGCTGAGTGCAGGGGGCGGGAAAGGCCCAGACACCAGCAGGGGGAGCTCCTGAGGCTGGGAGAGTAGGTGGAGGGGGGTCACAGCAGGGGCCAACACTAGGCTCCTTCCCCCCCCCCACGCCCCGTAATCGCTGCCCACCCAGCCCTGGAGCAGGCGTGGCAGGGCAGGGGGGCGCCGGTGCAGGAGCAAGACGGGGGAGCTGCGTGGAGCCCATCCCCCACTGTCTGGGCAGCGGCTGGCCCTGCGGTGCCCCCCTAGATGTGATCCCTTTACCCAGCACAGAGCTGGGTACCCCTGGCACCAGCAGCAGGAAATGAGAAACTGCCCCCCTGGCCAGGGCATGGGGCCAGCAGGGCAGAGCGAGGGGAGCGGAGAACCGGCAGGAAGGGAGATGGAGCCAGCAGGGCAGAGCGAGGGGAGCGGGGATCCGTCGGGAGGGGAGGTTGGGGCCAGCAGGGCAGAGCGAGGGGAGACGGGAACCGGTAGGAGTGGGGGTTGGGGCCAGGAGGGCAGAGCAAGGGGAGACGGGAACCGGCGGGACGGGAGGGTGGGGGTCAGCAGGACCAGCAGGGCCGGGTCATGGCCCACGGGCTACACCATGGTTTGTATCTCAAGTGCCCCCTGCACTTGGCATCACCAACCCCGCGGCAGCTGGCACCCTAAGCTGGGAACGTGGCGTCTAGGAGCTTCCCGCCCCCGGCCCTGCACAGTCCTTACTCCTGAGTAAGGCCCTGTCCCCCCACCCCACCGACAGGAGCCAAGTGGCTTCCTTTGCTGCCCCCCCACTTCACACCGAGCCAAGGACAGGACCAGCTGGTGCAGGGGCACTTGAGCCGGGCAGAGAGCCCAGGTCTCTGGCAGCCTTTCACAGTGACCATGTGACGCCGCTGTCTGTGGTGAGCTGAGCTCTAACCACTAGACACCGCTCCCTGCCCAGAGCCTGAGCCCCTGCACTGCCTGGCCATGAGAAAGGTGACGGCTCCCAAGCCTCCTGGGTTCTAATCCGAGCACTGACACCACTTCCCTGGGTGTCCTTGGGCCAGCGGCTGCCCGTCTCCCTGTGCCGCAGGCTTCCCGGCAGCCCAGGACGCTGGTCTGGAGCAGCGGCTGGTTTGTATCTGGGATGGAAAGTGTAGCCTGGTCCCTGCGGGTGGCTCTTTCGCAGCAGGATGGGGCAGCCCCTCAAGCACCTTCCCCCAGCCCCCTGCTTCTGGGGGTTCTGTCTGACGGGTGCAAGCCACGGGGCTGGAGCATGGGGGTGGGGGTGTCAGAGGCTTTACCTGGTGCTTGTCTCTCCATGGTGCTGATCTGGCGCCCAGTGATGCCAGATCCACCCCAGAGCAACTTGCTCCCAGGGAGACGACTGCAAGGCTTGGCCTGGCGCCAACATCCTCAAAAAGACCAACCCAGGGGAACAGCGATGGCTCCCCCCGCCCAGCCAGCTGCCCCCTGGGAGCGATTTCCCCCTCCCCCATGTGCCCGCACCCTGCTCCAGCGTGTCAGAACCTGGCATGCTGCGTGCTCCTCTTACCCAGAGTGCCTCGGGCTACTTGGCATGTGCTTCGCAGCCTTTGTTCATGGGGAGGCAGGGAATGGAGAGTGGGGGGGTCACTGGGCCCTGCAGCAGGGGTCCCGCTCACTGCTAGCACAGCTCAGTCGGGAACGTCGCTCGCACCGTACTAGGGAACCCTTCACTGCTCACGCTGCAAGCGCCTTTCTCCCGGGCCCACGGCCCCCCGGCCAGTGCCCCATTTAGCCCATCCCTTCAGGGTAACGGAGTCCAGCAGCACCCCTGTCCAAAGGTCGTCTCCAGACGTTGCTCAGCCCCTCCTCGGGCTCTGGACCACTATCCCCGTGGCCGGCAGGGGGGCCCGGGCCCACCCGCTACCCCGGCTTCCAGCCCAGGGACCCTACAACGAGCAGCCCAGGTCTGCTCAGGCCCCATCCCTGTTGCTGTTTCCCTGGACTGCCTCCTACCAGCCTCTCCGTCATGGGAGCTGCTCTGCTCCCCGGGGCTCCCTCGCCCCTCCCTGCCTCTGGCTGACTCCTTGCTCCAGGGCAGCCTGTCAGGGCTTGGTCGCCCCCTTCTGCTCGCAGCTTCCTGGCTGGCGAGTGCGGCCCAGCCCTGCCCAGCTCGGCTCCCGTCTCCATTCACCTGGGCCCTCCCACACCCAGGAGAGGCCAGGGAACAACTGACCTCTCAGCCCTTTGTTAACCTTCTCAGGTGTAACGCCCGTCACCCACCCTGCCCGCAGGACTAGCCCGTGGGGGAAGATGCCCTCTGCTGGGCCCACAGGGCATCTCATTTCTGCTCCGGGTTACCCGTCACGAGCTGCCCTTGCCCATTTTCTTCCCTCATGCCCGGTGCTGCTTCCGCAGGAACTCTTGGGCCTCTGCTGGCAAGGCCTGGGCTGCGGTGACTAGTGTCACCTGAATCCTCCGCTGCCACCGCCCGACCCCGTCCCAGCCGAGGCTCTGTGCCCACCGGGGCCAGTCCTGTGTCTGGGCCGGGCCCAATTGCAGCCTGGTCTTCTGTCTCGACCACCCTTGGTTTTCAGCCCTCTGTGACCTCCGAGCGGCTGCAGGGTGAACTACGAGGTCCGTGGGCGTCGCCGCCACTTCCACATGTCCTGCCTCCTGCCTGGTCCTGCGACAGGCCACCCCTCCTGGGGTCCACGCTGCAATGGGATGCTAAACTGTACTGTACGGTTCTGCCACCAGGTGGCGCAGCGCACCCAGACCTTATTTCAGCGAACCTGGCCATACCTGGCAGAGCATTAAAGGGTCTTACAACTGGGGTCTGTCTGTGAGAGACACCTTGTAGCCCGTCGGTATCCGCACAGGAGCCTGCCCTGGGGGGTCTCTGGGGATCACGCCCTGTAGCCCGTCCGTATCTGCACAGGACCCTGCCTCACTAGTAGCAGCCCTGCAGCCTTTCCGTTGCCCACTCTCTGTTTCCGGTGAAGGCAGCACCTTTTGACCCGGCTTCTTGGCATCCAGACCACACCCTCAGCCTTGCCCTGCCAGCGGGCCGTTCTTCGGTGTTTTCACCCAGCTGCCCACCCCCACCCCGCCGGGGCTGGCGTGCTCCTCATGGTCCATATAAGGGCCTGCCACAGGCCAAACATACCCTAGTCTGTGCCTTTGGGCTCCTGGCCCCTGCAGCTGTTCCCTTCCTGGATGCCCCTGGCCTGTGGGGGTTTCCCTCTGCAGGATCCCCATCAGGCACCGCTGTTACACCTCCAAGAGCAGCAGGTGTCTCCGCAGGTCCACCTGCCCCACCTCTGTCTGTGCTGGTTTTCCAGGGGTTGTGCCTGGACCTGCTCCAGCTGCTCCCCAGAGCTGACAAGGGGACTCAAGTAACCAAGCCTGCCCCTCCGTTTGCAGCTTGGGAGCGCAGCCCTTCCTCCCGTGAAGGCTTCCACATACGGTGGCTCCATTTTCTAACCGACGGCCCCTATTCTCCCCTTGTTTCGTGGCGAGCCTTTGCCCGCGTTCCCCACCTATTGTCACGGGGTTGCTACTCACCGCTAAAGAACCTCTTTGTGTCTAGATCAGGGAATGGGGCTCTTGCTGTGGCGGGCGCCCCCTCGCTGTTCGCTCTGCAACAGCCTTACTCCCAGGCCCTCGACCCTCCGGCCAGCGCAACATTTAGTCCACCCCTTCTGGGGTTACAGAGTCCAGCAGGACCCCTGTCCAAAGGCCGTCTCCATACGGTGCTCAGCCCCTCCTCAGACTCAGGGCCAGTATCCCTATGGCCGGCTCTGCGGGCGGCAGGTGAGTCCCAGTGTTACCCGCACAAAATTCTCTGTTACTTGCACATTCTAGGTGCACCTACCCTTACCCTGTTCCTAGGGCTCAGGGCATAACCTTACACTCTGCGGGTTTGCGGAGTCTTTTACCAGTGAAAGAACCTTACACAGTAATATCCTACTTAACCTCTGTTTATTAACAATCAGCAAACAGACTGCACACGTTACACATACAGTGCTCACCACTCCCAATAAGGCAGATGAACTTTTTCAGGATCAGATCATCTGGGCTGGGGGAGTCCCACTTTTGCACGGTGTGGTTGGCAGGGTGTTGAGGTCTGGCAGCTCTGTTCTTGGGGCTGTGTCCTGGAGTTGGTTCCCAAAGAACTTCCTTTTGGACCCCAGTTTATAGAGTGAAACTTGAGACCTGCTTAGCTAGACCTTAACCAATCATTTTACTAAAATATTATTAAACAATTTTCT